GCTGGATGCAAGCATATGCCAAACAGCGTCTCTGGATCTCTCTCTCTCCCTCTAATCCCCTCTCTGATCCAGCGATGCTCGGGCCAATCATTAGAGGCCAGCCACAACCCGTGATCACTGGGCCCTAATCTGAGTCCTCGGCCCGTCCGCAGCCCACCTCAGACAGCACCGGCCGGCTGCCAGCAGAGGAGTGGCAGGCTTAGGCTTCTCCAGAGAGACAGCTAGAGGTTGTCTCTACATGGATGGGCACTTCGCAGCTCGGCGGGGGCGGGAGGAAGGGGCAACATAGCAGCTGCTCGGGGCATATGGGCAGAATTCATTAAGTCTGGCTAAATAAGCCAATTGTGGAGGCGGCAAAAGTGTGTGTTTGTATGTCTGATAGAGAAACAAACACTGATCACTCACTGCATTCGAGCACTGGGCTCAGAGATTCTGCCACAAACAAATATTCAGAGCACAAACATCCCATGTGGACGCCCGGTCCTGAGGTAACACACTTGATGAAGTTGATTCAAGGCCCACCAAATGAAAAAATCTGGATCTATTTGTGATGGCCAGTGATTGAGCTGTTAGATGCATAGATTATGTGTCCTTCAGGACTCTGCAGTGCATCCCCAAATGTCATGAGACTGCTCTCGGCCTCAGAAATAAACCTAATCACAATCTGTAAATGTTACAGCTGTTTCTCTAATAGACCTAGCCTGACTTTGGAGGCCTGCATTTATATTCACACACATGAACCAAAGACCAAACTGAATGCTGATACGCACGGCATGTTGAAGGCATTTACAACGTAAATGATATATAACAAATTATGTTTTAATGTGTCGGAGCCAATGTCAAATGACATTCAGAAACCTGTTAGGAGTCTTGTGGCCTGTTTCGTACCAGCACCAGCTGTTGTCTTGTTTCCAACTTACATCAATTCCTCTTTATCCAGTAAAAGGTATAATGTATGCTAATCCCCCGGGTGTCAATAGGAACTGTGTTCAATGCATTTGAGATAATAGAGAAGAAGGGGTTGCTCCTATCGAGGACCTGGAAGATAAAGTCAATGGCACAGTCAATAATAATAAGGTTGTAGGCTTTAATGAGGAATGTTAATTTGAACCAGTGCTTGAATTGGAATGAAAAAGGTGCCAGTACTCTAAAATCAGCAACTTTTTCAAGTCAATTTTATATATACAGCCCACAAACAAGAATTTGGCTACTATAATGCTGGTGGGTTTGTCTCTTTACTCCTGTATATTTTAGAAAGGTTCACTGTACTTAACATTTTTTATGATAGGCAGCGGATATGGCTAAAGCTCAGTAAGGTCAATATTAACTGAAAATATAGCAATCAAAGTCTAGATCTTCTGCTGAAGACACATGAAGCAGAGACCTTTCAGGTGAGAGCCCCTCTGGTGGTGTTCAACATTAATGACAAGGAAACAAAGCTCTGGTCAGAAGCATTTTTTATAAAAAGCTTTAACAAAATTAAGTATTTCTGTACATTTTGAATGCAATCTAACTTTCCAACTCAGAAAACGAAAAACGAAAAAGTGCCAAAAGTCTTCTCACATGGCTGAGCTGCTTTGCAATATACTTCACCACTGAAGAATACAAATATGTATAAAGTAAACTATGATGCAATCTAACTTTCCAACTCAGAAAAATGATAAAGAGCATGAACAAAGAACATGTAAAAACAAATGCAAAATTTGCACAATCTAAAATGAGAAACTGTAACTGCAAGTAACAAAGTCTGAGCCATGGTAAAGAGTTACATTGAACACCAAGCTGATCAGATAACTCCCTGGTTGGTCTGAAGTCCTTCTATCTCCAGGATCTGTACAAATCGGCACATTATGCCAAAAGTCTTCTCACTGGTTGAGCTGCTTTGCAATATACTTCACATTGTTAGAAAAGGCTCCAGAAGGCCTTGGGGACATCAGTATCAGGGGCTGGAGCTGGACAGGCTCTTTCATCAGCACTTCTCCTTCCCTTTGCCAGCCAGGACCTCACATACTGTTCCGGATTGAACTGTCCTAGTGATGGTCCATTACATTTAATGAAAACCAGGCTGGACAGTCGGCTGACAGAGAGAGCATTCCTTTTTGCAGTAAGGATATCGTTCATGCAGCTGAATGCCCGCTCACACTCACTAGTGGAGACAGCGATGGTTCGGACTGCTTTCAGTAGAGGCTCCATGGCAGCAGGTGTACGGGATGCCCTGGTTTCCTTGTATTCGCGAAAGCCCTGAACAGTCTCTCTTCTGTCCACTTTCAGCACTTCGCACAAACGTAGCACCTCTACGTCCCCATACTGTACGTCTAACTCCTCTTCAGGCCAACTTCCAGGATGGATAACTTTCATGTCCTGGATTAGCTGATTGTCCCGGGCCTCCCGGCCATGTAATGGGATTTCTCTTGTGCTGACATGAGAGGAGGTTGTGGAAGTCATTCTGTGTCTCAGATTCTCTACCATACTGCGGAAAAACTGACCTGCATGAATCTGTACAAGCCTGCCATTCTCACGCAGGGCAACACCCTTGAAGGACTTCTCAGCTAGAGCTGTATGAACTGTAGTCATGTGTGGGCCAGGCATGGTGACCATGGATTCAAAAACTCGTATTTCTCGAGTTAAGAGCCTATCTGCTGTAGGCAGTGTCATCTCTCTTTTTTGGAGTTGCCGAGAGAGGTCGCTGAGCTCTGTGAGCGCATCGTACATCAGTCCCAGATTGCTGACAAACGTTGCAGATGTGAGCACATCATCCAGGCCCTTGTACTTTGCTCTGTCTCTGGAATCCCTGCTCGTGTCGTTTGCAGCATTTGTGAAGTGATCATGAAGCACTCGGTAGTTTTCCCAGACTGCTCTGACGCTCCTTTCACTTGAAGCCACCCAGCGGATGGACAAAACACGCCCTATCACCAGGAGACGCTGTCCGACTGCTTGCGCACACTGCGCTAACTGCCTCTGATTTTTGGGGGAGGCATGGAACAAGGAATAGAGTTTGTCAAAAAAGATCTGGAAATGATTGAGCCCTGAGACCTCCTTGACCACATCCCCAACTGCCAGCTCTAGACGATGATTGGAGCAGTGCCACACAAACAGGCTTGGGAATTTACTACACAACTGGGTAGCAACGCCTGTTCTCTTCCCTAGCATGACTGAAGCCCCATCACATGCAAAAGAAACGAAACACTGACCTAAAAAGTCCTCGTTAAAATCTCTTCCATTAACGCCTTTGTGATGTCATCAGCCGTTGTTCCATCCAACTCGATCAGCTCCCAAAAAAACGTTTCGGGCTCAGCATCAGCTAATGCTGAGCGTAGACACACAACAAGCACCGTTTTACCACTAATAGTGGTAGATTCATCGACCAAAACACAGAGTTTTCTTTGGTTTTCTGTAATGTCTTTTGCCATTTTTTTCTTCAGCTCATGAGCTATGTGGTCGATGATTTCGCCACAGGTTTTATTGGAGTGCAAAACCCTGCCCACGTTCAGCCCATTCAGTTTCTGTACATTCAAATCAATTGGCATGTCTGTGAATGGCCGGCTATGTTTGCCAATTTTATATGCCGTTCGAAAAACTCTGATAGTGGTGTCTAATTCAGATGTATGCATAGACTGCACTTGATGTTGAATAGTTTCACGTGAAGCAGATGTAAGGATGTCAGCAGCTTTTACATGGGCTTGTGATTCTTTATGTTCTTTGATTTTTTTTATCAGGCTAGCTTGTTGTTTGCCCTTGTCAACACCGAAAGGAGACACTGCACACTCACCCCATTCAGTTGACAGTTTCAGTCCTTGTCCAGTGTGTATTCCGAAAGATTTGACATCTCTGCATATCCGACATCCTAGCTTCTTATCTTTAAGAAGGAGCCATGCATTGGTCTTGCAAACATATTGCACCTGGTCCGTTGTCCAGCAGTCAGGTGCATCGCTTTGCCCGGTGTTGGTGGTGGCAGTTGCGCCAGCAGCAGCTAACGTTAGAGGCTCTGGAGGAGGCGGCGGGGCTAGTGCTAATGCTAATGCACTAGAACTTGGAGCAGGAGGATCAACCAAAGAAAGCTCCCCATCAGACACAATTTCCAACACAGGCACAGCATTCTCTGTATTTGAAGTTTCTTCCGGCGACAACCGCTGTCTTTTTGCACTTTTATTAATCCACGCTAACATTTTAGAAATGCTAATTTGTGACGTGACTTGCTTTCCTTCTCTCGGGGGCGTGCCTGCTCTGTTCGATCACTCTACATAGCCACCCACTGGGTGGGAGTTGCACTGCATAAACACAACACACGTGCATCTAGGTATGTAAATTGTAAAGCATTAAAACATGGTTTTACTAACAGTTTTCAGTATGTTGTTACTTCGGCATTATTATTATATTTTGAAAACGTGTATTACTATTAAATCACGGTCAAATAGGTTAATTTTGACATAGTCGTTTCCACCACAGTATTTACATGGAGAAGATAAGCCCCGCCCCCTCTCCAGCACGTTCTGTTTGAATGACAGGAGTAAACAGCTGACAGCCGCTGTGAAACTCCAGCGGTTAGAGCGATGAGAATGTCCGTTCGGCACCTCATGACGCATCTACTGAGTACCGGGCGGCTGTATATATATATATATATATATATGGATGTATAATAAGAACGGCGGGAGAGTGTTGAGTACTGGCACGGTGCATGAGTACCGGAGTACCGCCAGCATGCCGGTACTGAGCAAGAAGTGCCGGTACTCCATGGGTCAGAACCAGAAGTGCCGGTACTGCGTACCGGTGAGTACCGGCCCAATTCCAGCACTGATTTGAACACAATCAACTGGATTTCAGCTTAGCTGATTATCAACCTTGGACTTGTATAAGGGTGTTGATAAAGCTGGAACTACAGGGAGGGCATTTTTTATCTGCGACAGCTTTTTTCAGGGATCTTTTAAAGAAAATCAGTTTGCCTTTTGGCTGTTTAGGGTGAAATTCTAAAAACTCTAACAAAGACAGGGTAAAACATCACGTCATGTTCAATGCACAGTGACCTTTATTTAGAAAAAGATGACAAACAATGTATATACACTTTACAAAATATAAATTCTGGGTAACAAACAGTAATTAAAGTTAATATAACCAAAGTCACTGGCCCTTCTGTGTAATGGACATTCAGCCTGTTCCCACTGGAGCCTTTTGAAGTCCACACCTCTTCCTCATGTTACAGGCAACGCAGCCTGATCCTCACTCTCTCCTTGATCCCATTCCATCAGCAGCTCTGAGGACACCTCTGTAAACAGATGATCCCAGTCCCAGATCACATCATCCTGCAGAGCAGAAGAGGGGGAGAGAAGAAGAATTAGAGAGGCAGAGGGGAGACATCCCAAGGAGGAGAACAAGGGGAACAGAGACCAGGGGAAGGAGAGCAGAGGGTGTTAATGTACACATCATAAATCTTGATTACCTGGGAGACAGAGTGGCAACCTCCCCTGGTGCTCCCGAAACAGCTGGACATGCATTCGCTAGGAGCTCACAAGCTATATTTACTAACAATTCACTCACCTCTTTCACCTCCTGCTCCGGAGCTAAAACCTTGGTGAGGAGCTTCAAGTCGATCTCTCCGTCCTGAAGAAAGATCACAGTACACTTCACTTGGCTTGCACAAACAGAAGTCATGTGCTTTGCTAAATGAACCACCTTGACAAGAAGAGACATAGCATACATATATGAAAAAATGCCCTTGACTTACTAAGGGCTGGAACGCAGAGTAATACTTCAGATCATTGTCCAGATCTCTGTAGGTCACCACCCGGTTCACCTGCATGCTAACAGGGGGACAGAAAGACAGAATACACATTAGATACACAAACAGACTTTCATTTCAATAAGGATAACACGTCACAGAAAAACAAAAAGGCTTGCCGACTGCAGTGCTTTGTAGAAGTTTGTGCACAACGAAGCTTCAAGACTTCAAGCAAAGACCACAGAGAGCAGGAGATTGTTGCCAAGTGGTAAACGCTTCAAATTGAAACCCAGCTGCTTATCTGTGGGTTGGAATTAAGTGGGGGGGGCTCTCAAAGTGGCCGGGGCCTAGCAGTGCATGCCAGTCCTACTTACTGCACATTACACGCTACATTGCCCCTGCAATGAGTTCAATGTGGATATTATCTCGCACAGAGAGCAAGCCCCAGCCTAATAACCTCCACCGCTGTCATAGCCTTGCTACATATTCGACACATGTCGGTGTGTCTCTCACTGCCCTGTAAATCAAAGGGCCCGGTTAGTAGGGACCCTGGTAACAGAGTTGCATAAATCACACCCAACTGTTATTTCTCCATTTCAGTCCGATAAAGCAAGACTCTGCAACGGCACGAGTGGAGGACGAGTAACCATCAAAGTCACCAGAGCAGGCTGCTGATCTAATGTCCTCGCACGGACAAAGGTTAACTGCTGGACATGGGGACACGCTGTGTGTGTGTGTGGCTGTGTGTGTGTGTGTGTTTAAATCCTTATTTTCCATGAACTTGGAAAAGGGTGTGTCAGAAGGGTACCTTGGTGGAGCTGCTATTTGGTTGTTGAGATCTTCTTCCTGTACTTCTTCGAGGTCTGGAATTACTAAAAAAACGTAGACCACAGCATTTAGCAGATGATATGATAACATTTAAAAAAGTGCCAACATTTAAGATAATCTGATAGGCAGCACAACAACAGAACCATTTATGAAAAACGCGGTAAATCCCCTGTGTACGGCTGCTTGGAATGCACATTTCTGTGTGAACGTGGGTGTGTGTGACCGTGTCTGCGTGGCACTTCCTCCCCTCCCTCTCTCTGGTAACATCCTCATAAGAGCTGCCCTGTCACAACAGCCATGCGGCCATGAATATTCAGGAGGCGAGGCGGCAGCTCTTCCTGCTGTGAGAGGGGCGCTGGCCAGGGGCTCCCCAGAAAGCACCCCCTGCTACCTTAGCATTTGGGCCCTGTCAGCGCCACCCACCCCCAGGACCCTCAGTAGCCGGCGGGCCGACCTCCATGTCCACTCTGCCACTCCGACTGGGGCGGCATCCAGCCATGTGCAAGAGTATTTGCTTGCGGGCCCATCTGTGTGGGGTCGGAAGTCACCGTGCGGCCTGGCAGGGGCTGCAGAGCCAGGAGCCGCCAACCCGCTGCTCAAACAGTGGGAACCCACTTTAATTGGCAAAACGCAACAGGACAGAGGATGGCTCTACTCCCAAGAAGGACAGGGCAAACTTTCACAGCATTTTTCAAATGAACATTTTTTGGAGCAGGGAAATGAAAGAGGCATAATAAGGGATATAGATAAACTGGATCAAAACATGATTTACTGAATAATTAATAAAGAAAGTGCTCAAAGACTCTTGTAATTAGATGTTATTGTGTGATGGCTTTTTAAAGGTAACTGTATAGCCTAAGAAGAATGTACAAAACAGTCAATAAAAAGCATCTGCCCTGAAGGAAAATGTGTTAACTTTGGGTGGGATGTGAATTTCCTGAACAATATTTTGTGGGGGACAGCAGACCACACATCCTTATTAGCTCTACACCTGAGTGTTGACAGAGAGGAGAGAGAGAGAGAGAGAGAGAGAGAGAGAGAGAGAGAGAGAGAGAGAGAGTGTAAGAGAGAAGAGAGAGAGAGGAGAGAGAGAGGAGAGAGGAGAGAGAGAGAGAGAGATGGACTCCATGAAGAGGGTTGTCAGTAATCTCTAACCACAGTACTGCACCCTGAGGGGAGAGTCAATAGTGGAGCTAAATAGAGGTGAGGAGATGGAAGTGTGCATCTGATGTGAGGAAATATCTTGGCATCTATGTCACCATCCCTTTAAAAATACTCCTGAAAATAAACTAGAGTTGAAGAAACATCCACCTTTGAAGGAGCACTAAAATTCAGTTCTTCATGAAGTTATGGACGAAGAGAAATCCTTTTGATTTCGAGCCCTCAACTTTCACATGATAACAAAAGCTCTCCCTCTGTTGATAACTTATTTCTTTCTCTTTTTTAATTAAACCAAATTAAAAATGCCACGCTCGTTTAGCCGCTGACAAGGTTCATCTGTGTTTCTGATATCCAAATAAATGCGGGCGCGGGTATTTCATATTCATGAGGCCGCGGTGACACTTTGTCCTCTCATTTACAAAGCACAGCGTTCAGCAGAATCCGTCCCCCCTGGACCCCCAATCAAATGTAATGGTCTTAGTGCGATGACATCAAAAAGCCTTGCTGTCCGACTCTTTGCAAACAACTTCCTGGGTTGTCTATCCCTCCACACACACGCTTTTTCATTTCAGCCAGTAATGCACTATTAACACACTTCACGAGAGTTCAATGTGGAGCACAGAGGCATTTGTTGTCTATATGCAAAGTCTTTTATTAAGTGAAAAAAGGAACAACATTTTTAAATGAGCTTCAAATTCAACCTATTACTGGAGGTCAAGCGGGGCATCAAAGCAGCCGCCAACAAGCCATGTTTTCTCCAGACGCAGAGGGCAGCTCCATCAGGAGGAGCGGTCCCTCCTGCTTCACCTCCACTCACTTCCTCCCTGCGCTGGACATGCATCAAGGTGGCTTTTGTCTGGCAGCGAGCAGGCCAGGCGTATCCTTATTACCCGCCCGCGTCCGGCTGCCTCGCTGCAGCATGTAAATATCAAAAGGGGATCATTTGCTGTGAATGTAGACATACTCCCGGCAGGCACACGCCAGTCAGCGACTCTGCCGAGACAGGCCCCCTCTTTACATCACTCGGGCTCCTATAATCTACGCAGGGGGCCAGCCCAATGATTATAGGCACTGAATACATTTGAAAGGCGTATGGGAAAATATTTAACACATCACCGAGTAAGAGCAAGACAGTGAGACATGAAACAGATGAGTGTTTTTGCGATACTTGTGCTTTTTTAAGTGACCGGCAGGAGGCTGTGGGGTCAGCTGATGGGAGGATGGGAGCAGGGGACTGGGGGGCTAGCCTTCTCTCTCGGTGTGCGTGTAGCCAGTGGACATAAGGGATAAGGGTAGGGGACATAATCAAGATCGCAGGGGCTATCTCACTAACCCTCAGCTCTGTAATTTCCAATGCCCCTGCCTCCGGCTCTGTATTAAGAGGTCTCCCTCACCAGAGTAATAATCTTTCCGGCGGCATTAACTGCAAGAGAACCAAACCGCTGGACTTTCATTCAACTGGCAGGTTGAGCAAGCGCATACTACAGTGTGACAGACATTGAATGTGTGTGTGTGTGTGTGTGTGTGTGTGTGTGTGTGTGTGTGTGTGTGTGTGTGTGTGTGTGTACATAAATTGTAATAGAGATTAGAGAAGTTATACAGTACCTCAAACCCTGCAGTTTATGTGAAATTAATTGTGACTAATCAGTACATTTAGAATTGTTTTTAAATGGTAGTTTCCACATTTTCAATGAAAAGTTAGATTTTTTTAATGAAAATATAACGAAATATAGGGTAATTTAGCAACATTTACATTAGGGCAGTGAGATGATTAAATCCATGGTTTTTGTAGTTCATAGTTCTTATGAACTTTTTTAAATGATAAAAAGCTAGATATTGAAAAACACATCCTGTCAATGGGACCCATTTATTTTTCATTATTTACATTTGTCTTGGTTTTCAGTTTTGTATATGTATTCTCCTTCTTATGGTCATTATTATAATATCAAACATTTAATACAGATGTTTCGCCCATAAACAGCATCCCTTTCCCTGGGACAGTGATGTGTAGAAGTCCTTCAGTGTCAGTTGAGCACTCACGCTGCTAACCGATCTTTACCAAGGCAGTTTGAACCTATTTCCCCAGCTGCCTGCCGTCGCAAAACAGAACAATTATTCTAGGCAGGGTTCAGCTGAAATGTCCCTCCTCAGTCCTGACATTGTTTGTGGTGCGCAGAGTTGGGCCCTCAGGTGGCTCAGTTAGAGCTAGATCTGTATTCAACAGCAGCTGCCAGACACACTGTGCATGTGTGTGTACATGTATGTGTGTGTGTGTGTGTGTGTGTGTGTGTGTGTGTGTGTGTGTGTGTGTGTGTGTGCTCTAAGTAGTGAGGGAACACTGACCTCCTGCCACACCATTCCCCATCACCTAATAGATTTAACCCTATTTAATGAGCATGTTCACTTGTCGTTGTCCTCAAAGGAGCCAAGCTTCTACAGAGTCACGCAGTGGTCAGAAGCAGGAACACAGATGCAGAGCTCTCACAGATGACTCCATGCTGGATTCAAGGAGAAATATGGTGTGAGCATCAGTGAAAAGTGATGATCTGACTGCCTGCTTATCTGCTCTACTTCCAGAGGATGAATGTGCCGCTGGAAGCACTGGAGGGCTCCTCTTTGCCCATGAGGAGGGGACACAGAGTGGGGGACAGTGAGGGTGCTCTTACCTCCTTCATCATCTGATCCCTGGGGGGTTTGTGGTCGCAGGCGGCGGCTGTAGAAACAGGAAGTGTGAGAGTATGAATTATTTAATGCTTTCAAAATGCAGCCTGACGGTGAGGAGTGAGAAGGATCCTGGGCTAATTTGCTTTAAAGATGGGCTGGTTTTGTGCTACTGGACTTCTGAAAACTCTCTTTCAAAAAAGCACTGATGGTGCTTTAAGACGCTGCCGTGCTGTGACCGGTCTACAGCCATTGACAAGATCACCTCTAGGATTTGAAAAAAAGTATAAAAAATACCCAGCTCAGGCAGCAGTCTGAATAAGTATTACTGAGACAAGGCAGTTGTGACAGGAGCACAACATAAGGGACTTTTCTGCCGGGTAACAACTCCTACACACAAAGCCTCCGTCTCACTGCAGCCATTCAGGCACCGGGCTCCAACATCCGACGATGAGTAAAACATAGATGACTTCGTCCTCTAGCTGCCTCCCCTCATGATGTCTATTCTAGTCACAGAATGATGTAAAGGGGGGTTGGGAGGAAAAAATAGAATAACAGGAAAACTTGGCTCCTAACGGCAATAAAAGTGATGACAACTCAGTCACGCCGTTTTTTAATCATGTTAAGTGATTGTTCTTGGAAGGCAAGGATTAGTTGCAACCAAGGACAATCTGAAAGTACAGCGCTGTTTTCACTTTACTGCAAAATAACTAATTCTTAGTGACCTATTTTTATCCAGCCACACAGAATTGTAACTGGCATTGAATGTGTAGGAATACAATGAAATATGGAGTGAACGTACTCTTCCAGATCCTCTGCTGCAGGCCTTCTGGAGGATCTGTGAAGCAGCAGAATAAACAAATGTCAAACAAATTAAATATCACACGTTATTTAAAATGTTTGCTTACTTCTAAACAATTGGAAGTACAGAACTCGAGCTGTACACAGTACATACTGGTTATATATTCTTAGTCCTTAGAGGGATTTTAATAAATACTTCCTGTTATATATTTATCTAATGACTGTAATTCTGCTTTATCAGACGAAGTGGGCTCTACAATAGTTTTGACTTCTCCTCGTCTCCTTCTGGATCGTGCGGTTATTTTCTGAATTGTGTCCATTTACACAGCTCAGCTAGAACAGAGCATGCCAGACAACATAGTGTGTTTTAACATGTCTCTGCCTCTACACAGTATTATTAGCATCCACTGTATATTTAAATATGTAGCAATCCCATCAGAAATCAAATAAAAACAATATTATTATTACCTAAGAAGTATATTACTATATCAACCATCATTTAAAAATCACAGTAAGTTCTATGTGCTTAAAAAAAGCAGCTTAAACTTTTGTTTATCTTTTTCTCCTCATGCAAAACGCTTTTGGTTCTGGTTCTCCTGGTTGAGTAGTGCCCCCTACTGGATGTAAAAGTAACACATCCTGTGCAGCAATAGTGGTTTTTACTGTCATTTTCATCATTTCATACTGCCAGAAATCAAGGTTACTGATTTTAGGTGAATGCAAACTTCTAAATAAATGTACATTCATCCAAAAAGTATATAAAAAGGTGCACTTCACTTAAGCAACTACTGTATGTTTATATTTAAATCACTGCATACAAATGGCAGGGGCTAATTCAGGGGCTCCAAAAACAGAGAGGCAGTAAAGACGTCACTAGAAAGGCAAACCAAAGCTTGTACATCAAAAGCCGCACCTGGACACCAGGTTCAGAACCTACTTTTAGTTAACCATTAGACCTTGTTCTCCTTTAAAGTAGCTTTTTTCTATTAAAAGGGTTTTCCTGCAGGAGTCTGAACAATTGATATGGCTAATTTGATTTGGGAATTTGGGGCATACAAATAAATGAGACTCGACAGGCAGAGCAGATATCATTCAAATTCAGGAAAACAAACTCAAACGAAATAAAGCTTGCAACACATAACCATCCTTAGAGCAAAGTCGTTTTTAGTAGATCAAATAGCGTTCATCTGAAAACAGACATTTAAGTCATGACGCATTTGTTTTGTGTATCGGATTATTCATCTTTAAAACTATTTTCAAGGGGAGATCCAATTTAAAAAAGAAAGAATGACATAAAACACAACTAGCTACCCAATTCTCTAAAAAGGTTTCCTCCTGTTGTCTCTGTCTCATCCCTGCTGCGTGTGGATCGACAGCCCTGAAGGTTTCCATGAGTCCACCCAGGCAGGGCAGAGCAGAGGGAGCCCACCTGCCTGCCCTTGGACTGTGTCCTGTCTGGGGGGGGGAGGGGCGGGGGTGGCGACACTTAAGATACATTACAGGCCCCTTGATTAAGACTCATGTAAGGCAAAGCGATAGACATGGTAAAACTGTCTGGAAAAAGTTGTTAGGGATAAAATATATTGTGACAACCTGGTTTCAAAGGTTCATCAATAAACTGACAGATCATTTAGTGTCAATTAGAAGTGATAGATCGACAAATCCCGGGATTTCTGCGCTGGGATTAGTGGGAGGAGGGCGGCGGTGATTGAGCATGAGGGGTGACATTGAAGGGAAAAGTCCTTGCCGGTTCCAGGGGGGACCATTACTTACTTTGTTCAGAGAGGATCAATGCGTGCGCAAAACCCTTTTACACCTCCTGTATTTCAATCGCTTTGAGACTGCGAACCAAGCCGGGTTACACAGAAGCAGAGAAGCGACGCGCTGACCTTCTGCGAGAAAGGAAAGATCTATTGAGTTTTCTGTTTTCCCTGCTTGCACTAACGGTGCAGTAAACTACGCAAATAAGCACACTTGCCTCAGTGTGTTCACTTCAATGCATCTCCTATGCTCTCACCTCCACTCGGAATGAGAAAAGGAGCGTTGTAGAGAGGCCGTTCCACACGAGCAGAGTTGATTTAGTCATGTACAGTATATAGATTTAGATGTGTAAGTGGTAGGCGAAGCCTGGGTGGGAAACATGTTCCATCTGTTCCAAATACTTTGTAAATCCTCCGTGTTGTGCTCCCCGTGTAAAGAGCAGCCTGCAGTGGTAAGGGGTGATTAAGTGGCTTGAACCCTGGTGATGAAGTGGCTAGCTGACTAACAGTGCCCTCCTGTGGCTGATGCATTAACCATGTCAATTACCGCCTTGCTCACAGATGAAGACGAATGGAGAGTTGCTGCTCAGACAGGCTCCCTCTAACCTTGTTGATTCACAGCCTGAGTGCCAAATATGCACTGATAAATAAGCTCATTCAACAGCATGAGAGTTCATTAATAACACATAAACCCGAGACCACAGCTCGCTGTCTCCGCCTTCCGTAGTGTGGCTGCGGGAGACGGAGGTAAAAGGTGGAGAAACGTACTTGGCAGAACCAGAACCAGAGCTTTCTTCTGCCCAGCCGCCCTGCCGCCGGGCCGGTTTAGGAGGAGGACCCTGGAAGAAGAGAGAACTTTCATTTGTTGAAGATGTATTCACTCATAGACAATCTAACTGTTATCTGGCTTTAGTCTTGGAGCACTACGTTTAAAAGTTAATGTTTGTGTATGAAATAGCTTTAAGATGTGTCATAATTATAGGGCTTATGTGATACATCAATACCTGTGTGATAAATATGTTAATAGGCTTTATTGTGTAAGAGAGACATCATTTTCTAAAAAGGGAATCTGCCAGTAGGTGGCCCTCTTACCTACAATAGAAGAAACGTAAAGGACAATAAAATGCTTACTTTAATTGTCCCCCTAAAGGCTCGGGATCATTTAAACTAAGTTTCACCTCTGTACTAGTTATGTTTCAAGCTACCGTCATGTAGCTCATGTAAAGTAAACAATAGGCCTGGTATGTGCCGCACACGGTCGTCTATATGCACTCCATTGTTTTGTTTATTTCTATAGTTTTCAATACCGTCCATTTGCAGCACCAAACGTATGGGGCAGAGTGTGGGAACTGCCACGGCCTGTAAGTCAGACCCTAAAATAGATCAGGAGGAAAGAAATGACCCTCTCCCTCTCATTCTTTGATTCTGAAAATAGTAAAGCAAGTATGCATCTCGATCCTGAGACCGGGACCCTGAGACCGGCGCTTGAATGAATGAATTCCTCCGAGCACACGAGGGTGGGCACTAGACAAATGGATTATGAAAAAAAAAAAGGCACAACATTTCTCATTACTAAATTGGGTCTGCAGAGGACAAAGTGCTCGTGAAGAATTTCTTTCGTTTATGATGAAAGAGGAAATAATCTTTCATGGCTGGTTCCTTCACCAAAGCCATTTATAAATCTGAATGTGGCCATTAAGCAGGGCAGAGGGAGGGGGAGCCACTCTGCTCCGCTGTATATTACCATTCATCGAGAGAGCTGAGGCTGAACAACTCAACTTCCTGTAATTAGTAACTGTCTCTTTATTAAGAACAAAGGGGATTACCATAACGACAATTGAGTCATTTTAAGCAACATTCCTTCAAGTGATGTTTGTTAAATTCCACTTGTGTTTTGTTTGGTATTTCTGACAGTGAAACATTTTCACGAGAGACAAGATAGTAAGGTCAAGTGTCTCTGAGTGCAATAAATCCATCCTGTGACAGTTATTTCACTCTAAAGAAATGGAGAGGACCATAAGTGTCCTGAGAAACTAAACAAATCTGTGCCTTGAATACTTCATGACCAAATATGAACTTCACAGTCCTAGTAAAATAGTTATGGCTGTAAAGGCAATTAACTTAGCTCCTGAAGACTCTAATTTAGGATTCTCTGATGGTCTCTAGGGCAAGGGACTTGTGGTGGCCAAACCCTATGAGCCCATAAAAGCAAATGAGTCTTTGTTTTAAAGGACGTCAGGAATGTGACCAATCAGTTGGGTATTTTAGGCAGAAGAGGCCAGGGTTGATAAACGAAGACTGCAAATAAACCCACCCAGTCGCACGACACTCTGGAAAAATGTATTGCATGTGCACAGCAGGTCACAAAGGGCACGAGAATACTGGTTCATACATTAGGGAAGTTGGCCTAATTTGGGTAGATTAGCCAAAAGCTAAAGCATTGCTGGAATGTTTTACTTCGGGAATGTTGGCTGGTTTACAGTTTGCCAATCTGGGAGATGTGACTGATTCCATAAATGCCAACGATAGTGGAGTGAAATGATTTGATATATTTCCACTGTCCTCAGATTTGACTTCTCTCATATATTGGTGCCCTATATTAAGTCTAAATTTAGCAACTTATTTTAAGAGGCAGACATCAGAAGGAAAACTTTACAACAACATATCTGCACAGACTCAAAGTGGCGGAATGAAAAGTTGGTAGTCATGGGGACTTTAGTGATGTCATCTGCTTGTGTTTCAATTAGGCAATTTACAAGAGAACAATAACTAAGCTTTGTGACTGACGTTTAAAAGGGTTTTAGAGCTTGTATGAAGGGACACTTTACATGTCATGCAAGCACATCAGAGTCAATACACACATCATTCCTAATAATAATTGAAAAGCAGACAGCTTTTTTCTCTCTGCTTTGAAACGGTACACATATTGTAACTTATATGTCTGTGCATTAATGAGCCCTCTATTACAACGTTATACTGCGTAAGTCAAGCTGTGATACGGTGTGTGGTTCAATGTGAGAGTGATGAGGCCTGGATATCAAATCCAACCAGCTGGAATGAACACCTCAGTGTTTGTGGAAGGAGGACGAGTGTAAAATAGTATAAAGTTGACGTCTGGAGAAATAAGCAGCAGAAGCCATGCAAATTCACCAATTTCTTTCATGCTACCTACCTCATAGTCCTCATTTGATTCATGTGTGAGACAAAAACAAAATGCATATTGATGAAAATGATGGTAAAGGGAAATGATAACATGCCCCTAAGTGTCGACTATCATGTGTTTACATACTTCTCCCATTGAAGCAGATGTGGAGGACTTCCTTATGGGACGAGAATCTTCGAACGAGGATTGGTCAGCTGCAAGGCGAGCTCTTCGTCCAGACTTTGCAACCTGGGAAAAGTGCAGGAAAAATATATGATATCAGAAAGCCAGAGAAGCTCTGCCAAACACTACCAAAGACTTTGTGGTTTGCTTTGCTTTAATTGTGCCATCTAATGAGCCAACCACATGATCAAGGTATTTAGCTTTCATAAATCAACCAGGTTTGGTACTTCCAGTTTTTAGGGCACAATGTGCAGATGTCGCAATATATATATTGTTTCAATAGAGGATCATTTTGAAACAGCTTTCATGTCATGTGATCCACTGACTCCAGATGTATACCAGAAACTTTGACTACACTGAAAAATGAAGTCCCACCTCTTTTTTTATTGGATTTTAGGGCTTCTTTTTTATAAATATTCTGCTGTTTTTTTATTAAAGGTCTTCCATATCCTATGACCCAGTGACTCCAAATATATTCATCAATTTGCATTGCTACACTGGAAAAGTAGACACTCCTCATTTTATTGGATTTTAGTCCAGAAAAAGCAGTTTTTGTAGTGGAAAGTTGTATTTCTTTAGCTTCCATGTCATGTGACCCAGTATATCAAAATGAATGCAGCACTGGACACGGAGGGCACACATCGTCTTTTGAGTGACATGATATGGAATTGATGAAAGAAAATCAAACTTCCCAAAGCCAAAACTAGCCTTCTCATTACAAAACAACTGCTTAATTTCAATAGTCATTTTCATATATAATAGAAAAGGCAATACAATCCAATAGAAAGTCTGTCATACTTAGAAATAAAATGAGGAATTGATTTGGAGTCACTGGGTCACATGAAGGGGCGCTATTGAAAAATAAAATGGAATGATCCCCTGAATTCAAATATTCAATCAATTCATGACACGTAAGTTATCATCATAAAATGTGTGCGAAATAAAGACACATTAGTGATTTCTATGTTTAAGCATCATTTCCCCTAATGAGCAAGTAAGCACGCAGGTATTTTCATTTTAAGAGTATTGACCATTTATTGATGGTCCCTAAGTAAAACACCTGTGGTTAAAAGTGAATGCTAACTGTCCTCTGAAGTCATAGTCTGTGAGACTAGGAAAGAAGACTGGTGATAACGTCTGTCCAATATCCAACCTAGCACTAACTTTAGTATTTATATTACACTGTGTCAGAGCAGTCCACTGATATATATATATGTGTGTTTTCTAGCGAAAGGTTGTGATAGCATTTGTATTACAGTATAGGTACACCAGAAAAGGAACGTTTGTTTACGTTTTCGATGGAGTTCAGCAGTCACAATTGGAAAATAAAGAAAAAATACAACTTAGCACAGCATCTGCAAATGGTGTATCCGTGCTTTGCATGATGGGAAATTTAGGCTAGCACCACTTAGCTAGTCAACGTTAGCTAAATGCGCAGACAAACCTTCAAGCTGCCGTTGTTTAAAAACGGTAAATGGTAATGTCTCTCCGCTGCTAACAGGTTTGTTGGTTTGTTAACTTATTCGCCGAGTGGCAAATATTGACGTCTCATGTTAGCTTAAACGCTAAGTAGCTAGCAATAGCCGCGCTTCACAGGTTCTTCTTCAGGTACTTTATGCTCCCTACTCTCTATTTACAGCGCACGAGTTTAACGTTACCTCTGCCTCTTATGTCTTGCTCCCTTCTCTGCGATTTACCGAGTCACTCACATTTTTAACTGCTCCAGTTTCTCCAAGCTGAAAGTTATCTTCCATGTCTCTCCTCCTTGCTACCCCTCCAGGCAGGACAGCGTCTTCCTGTTAACTACGCGTCACATGGCAACGCTCTCCATGGTAACGCCAATCTGTAGAAAGCGTGTGTTCCAGTGTGTCTCCATGAAGTGTTCACGGATTTTCTACGATACACAGATAGTAGGGTATGCGTATTTTTTACTCCACTAAATTAATTTAGTCACATTATTTACTACATTTGCAGGCAGCAGGTTCATACTATTAATTCATAAATTAGATCAACTAGTTCGATGTGCAATAATATGGATGGAGATACCTGGCAGTATAAATAGTTATTATTATCTCATCCTTTACCAGCTGCAAAATTAAAATGATAGCCACATTGATGTAAAATATATCTGAACTAAAGAATGACCCTGGCCTGGCCTCATAACATCAAGTGAGTATACTTTCCTAAAATTAGAAAGCTTATGCCTTGCACACTAAAGCATGCATGCAGTTAAGCTCGGGCCAAATATTGACTCAGTGTTGTTGTTGGGTCAGTAAAAAACAAGGGAGGGAAAGGTTAATAGAAGAATGATGTAATCTAAACAATCAGAGTCAGAGTTTGCCTTAAACAATCAGAATCGTTCCCACAACTCCCACGTCTTTGTCATCTTCCTCAGCCATAATCAAGTAGAGTCTCATCACATTTCCCGTCTCCTGCATTGCCCTGCCACAGTGCATGTCCTCAGTGTGAGAAAGGAATTAGTGATGGGACCTGAACCTCCCCCTGTTGTCCGCTAGATGTCCCTTATGCATGTTGTATGATGCTGATGGGCTCTGAACAGTAGCATCCAAAGGATCACAGCAGCTGGCTGGGGTCCCTGTGCACCTCCAAGATCTCTTTTGTTAACTTTAGCCTTCCATCTGCAATCAATTTGTCTCCAAAACGTATTTTGGATGCTGCCAATATTGTCAAAGGACTCGTAAAATCAACTCAATGACCCTCCAATCAGGTTTAAGGTCCTTATTTGACATGAATAAGCAAACATAAACACAATGCAACTTCAGTCTTATTCATAAAATACAAATCGTATTTGTGTTATATACTTATAGAGGAAAGAAAAGAAAATAAGATTATCCTATCAACAAAACAGTGCAATCAAAGTTTTTTTCTTTATTCACTGTTGCAAAATCCCACATTGCCCAATATTACGCACATGTTTTGAAGTTTGACAACACCACATTTGAAGTCTTTTTAAGTGCATTTCAGAATAGGATCTCATTGTCCGTACTGAGGCTAATAACTTGCTGCCCCTCCCTCTAAAACGTCACCGCTAGGGACTATAAAGTATGAGTGAGAGTGGAGAGCGTTTGAGTTTGTTTGAGGCCGGGACTGCAGCGAGAGAGCAGAGGCGCACTGACTCCTTGACAACAAGTGGATGGAAAGAGCCCAGTGCAATGGAGAAACTGAACCGCAGTGCAGACATCGGAGCCCTGTAAACCCACGAAGAATAGATGAACTGCTTGCATGAGATAAGGGGGGATGAAGAGTAGAATACATAGTTTAATGAAGAGTTGAGATACATTTCCAAAATGGCACGGATTAGCTCCAATGCAAAATCGCATTTCGCAAAGATGACATAGCACTTAAGAAAATGGGATTCCTCCAGGAACAGATCTCACTCACGACCTGAATGAAAAGAGAAAGGGGACTCTATTCAAATCGGAATTTTGTTTTGTTTTTTTACTTGACAAGCCTCGGTTGTGAGCGAACGCAGAGTGAAATATGAATCTGGGAAAAGCACTTCTGTTTTTCCTCCTCTCAAATTGTGTGACAATGACTTTGTCGCTATCCACTTGCACCACTGTGGACATCGACCACATAAAGAAAAAGAGAGTAGAGGCGGTCCGGGGACAGATCCTCAGTAAACTCCGGCTGACCAGTCCACCTCAAACAACAGGTCCGAGTCAGGTACCGTTTCAGGTCCTGGCCCTTTATAACAGCACCAAGGAGCTCATTGAGGAGCTGGGAAGAGACAGGCATCAGAGCTGTGGACAGGATAACACGGAGACTGAGTACTATGCCAAGGAGATTTACAAGTTCAACATGATCAATGGTCCGCCAGAAAACAGTAAGTTGTTTGTTTTTAATCATGGTCAATAAGTGTTTATTTTTGCACTAAAGTTAAAATATTGTGTTCTAAATGTGGGTGGTTAAAAAACATAGGGTGGAGTAATTATTGATTTTGCCAATGCGCCATGCTGCCAACATTGTTAATCGTAGGTGCCCAAACTTGATCCAAATGCCTTAACTTGTACAAATCTGTGTACAGTCGTAAAAGTGAAAAGGTGTATGTGGCCTCAACACAAAATTATCATAGGTGGTAACAATATCAACAACAGGGTTGTGACTTTCCCAGCTAGCCGTAAGTCGACTCGTGTCTGTGCAGCCTTTACGCACAGACGCGCCTGTGAGAAGTGGAGCGGTGCGCAAAGGAGAGGGCAAAGTAAACAGTCTAATTGGAATGAGCACCATTCCTCCTACATACCTCACACCAAAGCCATGGGAACTCCAGCCTTAGTCTGACACATTCCTTAGCTAGGAAAATTCTCAGGCAGTTAAGTCTAGTATTTATTGCCAACTCCAATACCTCATTTCCATTTTCTGGCCGTGAGTTTCCCAATATGTTTCATCCAGTGTAACAACTCTCTCACTTCTATTCCCCCCACTATTTCTCTCTAGTAGCAAAGCGCGAGCTGTGCGTTATCTAATTCCCTTGTTCATCCATATTGGTATTTCCTGTATAAACTATGGTCCATTGATTGTTCCAGAAACCTGAAACAGAAGCTCACTGAGCAGCAGATTCTCCAGAGAAAGTCAGTTTCTTAGTGTGAATTGGATTTGTATGCCGGTCAGAGGCCAGTTTGTGCACAGTGTAACCAGCTTAAAGATCAACAGGTGTTTATGGTGTGCTGTGACACTCAGCAGAGCCTCTGCCCGTTCCAGCATAAGTCGTGAATCAAATCCATTTCACAGGTCCCACAAAGTGCTTCTGACACTCAAAATACACAGCTCGGGGTTTATCCGCTGGTCAGAGGTAGCCAGAGCTCCCAAAACAAACAGAGGTCTAAGGAGTGGGATCAGTGATGGCCAGGTGCCCAGGACACATCACGCCGGTCTCATACTGAAGGCCCTTCTAGGTGATAATACGAGACATGAACTTCACTTACTACTGGCAACACACTGCACTAAACAGCTTATCCAGGAAGGATATTAGGAAATTAACAGAATGTGCCAACATACATTAATTAGCACTCTCCCTTTCCATTCTGTAATTGTAAAGAGAGCAGGGCATGTTGCAGACAGTGTAACATAATGTCTGTCACCTTGATCATGTTGTAGTTCATTTGTATTCCTGCTGGATATAATGAGTTTTACATCCACCACTTTTGGAAGGTGGGAGTGTTTGGGAATAAAGTCAAGTTTTGCTTTTTTTCATGCGCAGTTAAAAAGTTAAACAGAAACTTTTCTGTCATACTTTAATGTGCCACTTGCTCCAGAGCCACAACTGTTCATGCAAACCAAGGCATTTGCCACACAGTAAATGACTATATGAAGCATAACTGAGACTGAGCAGCAACATATTTTCATTTTCTGGTGCATCAGGAGGCCAGTGTGGCTCATTATATTGTGTTTCTGTTGAAGAAACAAGATACAAACATAATGAAAGGAAATAATGACCTTTGGCACAATAACTTAGCTAAGAATGCACGTACTCTTAAATGAGAAAGATGGTGCCTTGCACACTGGAGCATGCAGTTTCAGTGACATTTCAAGCCAATCATTGACTCAGTGTTGGGTCAGTACAAAATTAGCACTAGCGCTGAGACAGCAGCGTATCTGATATATGGGATAGTAGAAAGATGATGTCATCTGAGCAAACAGAGACAGAGGTCTTTGGCCAAAGAAACTGCATCTCTCCCCCCCTCAACTCCCACGCCTTTACCATTGTTGCTTCCTCATCCTTAATCAAGTGGAAAAAAGTTGTTTTGAACTGCAGCAGAGAGGTACTTGACATTGTCTCATCACATGTAATGACATGCCACACTATAGGAAGCAGAGGAATTAGATTATATGATACAACACAGCATTTAAATTCATTATTTTTGAAACTAATGATCAGTTTTCTGCATCATGGGTGAGTCAAAATGAAACCATAGCAGCATAATTAAAATCCTAATTTCATATATGGCTATTCAACTTTACAACAAAGCTTAACTACTTTATTTCAAATAAATGGGTTGTTGTCCTCTACAAGACACCTCAGCAGCTGGCTAGCACCTGCTGCCTTATGTGTCCTATTTCCTTTGTTTACTTCCAAAAAGCTCTGGAGAGACTGACATCACAGACAATCCTCCGGGCAAAAGGGCAAAGAGAGGTGATTCCTGAGAGGTTTTTTTCATCAGGAAGGGTCTGTGTCATGAGAGGAGAGGATCGCACACACTGGAGGGTACGAGGTGTGGTCGACAACGTCTAGGCGAGGCATTTTATACGAAGCTTTACTACAGAGCCATGCCAGAGTCTGTCCCCGGGCCTTCCTGAATAACTGTACCCCTAAATCCCTCATTTAAAGCCTTTCTCAAATTCACCGAGTGATAATACGAGAAGGAAGAATGTGAATAGGTGACTGTAAATAACTTTTGCGTGTGTAAATGAGAATGCTTGGTAAAATGATATCATTAATTTGATCTTGTGTGTTTTCGCTATATCAGAACAATAGGTCTGATGTTTTTCTTAAATAAGGTTTACAAGATAACGAGTACAATACTTTAAAAAACTCAAAATCGTTCATTTCTGAGTGGATTTCCAGATAGAAACAAGACCCTTGTGAAGCTTATTAACATACATCTCTGCTACTTCAAATAGTTTATAGGTCAAACCTATGTCAGCATCTTGACAATCAATCTTAAGACCTATAGTGGGAGTCGGGAAATTGGTGAATGTATATCATTTTAATTATGCAAGCTATCCCCTCCAATTACCAACATGGAACAAATTACCTTTCAGACCCTTGGCAAAAATAAGCCATAATGTGAAATCCACCTAAAACCATTGCAATGGGAAAAATGA